AAAAAAGATGAGTTTAAAATATATTAAGAGATTTTTCGAAAATCAAGATTTTTCATGAATATTTTAAGAAAGTACGCCCAGTTTATGACAAGTAATAATATGAAATATTATTGATAAGAGCCTGGAATCGAGTTAAATTATAAATTTGATAATAATTGCGTAAGTGACAATTAATATGTGTATCTCTTATATTTTGTGTCTAGTACTAAAATGTGAAAATAAATATTGAATTTCCGAAGACTCTGATATTTATCCTTAAAAGCAAATATCGTTGAATAATTTTAACAATTTATTTTAATAATTTTAGAGCACCTTTCTTAATTGAACTCACTTTCATTTAATTCGATTAAAAATTTCTTTCATAATCAATTCCTTATACTCACATCTGGGACATCTTGTTTCTTAATTTCCTTTTTTTGTTTTCTTAACTTTTTATAAAATAATTCGAAGAATTTCTATTGTGCACTTGAAATTATGCAAATACTTGAATGTGTTGTTAACGATTTTTTTTCTATAATTCTTTTTCGTTATTGTAATTTAACTTTGATCAACGTCGTCATCAAGTGAACAACAATAATATAAAAAAAAAAACCAACCTTTCAAGAGTCAAGCAGTTTTCTAGTCTACCCCATATATACATATACAAAAAATTAATCCTTACCAATTTATGTGCTAGTTTTATTGTTTAATATCAAAGTGTTTCTTGTTCTTGTATTATTTTTGAACAGAAAAGGATATAGAAAAAGAGAATATAGTTTTTTCTTTATGAATTTTTTTTCATTTTTTTAATATTTATGGAAAAAAAAAAACATATGCAGCAATGAAAATTATGTGAATATTAAATTTTCATTTTAACGTGTGTTCGTTCGCTTATCTACATTGCATGCATACTCGTTTGCCCTTTAATGAACTTGAAGAATTGAAAGGGAAAAATTTGCATCTTTCGAAAAACAAAAAAATTAAATGCAAAAAAAAAAAAACATTGAATTTTCTTTTATAAAATTTTGCTTTTATACACTTTTTTACCTGGATCAGTGTGCTTTTCCTTTTATCCATACGTCGTGTACATAATGCTTAAATCAGATTGTGTTCTCAATTTGAACCGCAAAAAAAAAAAAAAAGCGAAAGTTGAATATAAAGCATTTTTTTTATATAAAAGAAAGAGGGTAAGTACATCATGCGATGAAAATCTTGAACTTTATGACCTTCGATAGCATTTTCTTTCTGTATTCCAAACCATCTTTTAAATTTAATGCATGTCAAAAATTTCTAAGTTTTTTTTTTTTTTGATTTCCATTAAGTTTAATCAATAAATTATGTAGCTGTAATATGCTTAGGTAGCTCTTCGAAATTTATAAATCTTTTTCCACAACCATTAATTACACATTTTTTTAATGGATTAAGTTCGCATTTTATTTGTTTTTGTGTTTAATAAGTTCAATTTAACAGGAATTTGCAGGGAAACTAAATTTAGTTGAACAAATTATTAAAATGTTCAATAATTAAAATCCATAAATAATGAAAAATTTATTTGTACAATTAAGTTTTATGTTATTGATCCTTAATTACTGAAGTAGGTGGTATTTAAAAAAATATACATAGCAATGTTTTTGGACTATAAATATTTTCTAATATTTATTGATTTAAATGGATAATTTGGCTCAACAACACGTTTAAGTCAGCATTGCTTGATGTAAAAAATTAAAAATGAACAAAGTGCCACTTTTGTTATTTTTGAGATAGAGCAATGATGTTTTTTGGAAAATACTATAAGACCTTTGCTATATGAATGTTTCGGCATCCTTGTTATAAGAATATGAATATCAGATCTGCACGAGATTTTACATGAAATTTCTACATGCTTGGTTTAACACTATCATTGTTTTAATTTCCTTTTAATAATGTGGAATTCTGGTCTTCGGTTCTAATTTTAAGAAAACTTCAGAAAATTTTGCATTTTTCAACAAGAACATTAAAAATTTTTAAATTTTTATGAGAAGAGTAAAAAATTTTGTTTTTTGTAAAAAACGTAAAAAATGTAAAAAATTTTGTATTTTCGTAATAAATGTAAAAAAAATTGTGTTTTCGTAATTAACATAAAAATTCTTAATTGGCTCAAAATGTGTAAAAAACTTTGTATTTTTTGTAAAAAACGTTTAAAACTTTATTTTTCATGGAAAATGTAAAAAATAAAGTTGGGTCAAACCAATGGTTTGTATTGTAGCACTTTTCCCTTCAACAAGTGAAAATTCTGCTTTTAACTACACTATGTACACCTATCACACTTTTAGAATTATTTTCATTCATATACAAAACTATTTCTAGGATTGCATATATTTAGGATGACGCATATATGCAGTGTTTGAAATAAAGCAAAAATTAATATAAAAGTTATGTTGTGTAATAAAAGTTGTGTGAGTTAAGAAAAATAATTATATTTTTTAATTTCATGGAATTTACCGTTAGCTTTTTGCGTTTATAAAAATTTGGAAAAGCTTGCGGTTTCGGAAATATAAGGTGTCAAAAATTCAAATTTTACGAATTTCAAGAGGTGATAACTTGAGAGCGGGTGGAGATGGAAAAAAATTTTCTTCTAACAAAATGAACTATTTATTAATATCTAAAAGCTCCTAAAATTTCAAGCTTCTACAGTCTGGGGTTTAGAAGAAAAACGACATCAATATTTTGGAAAAGGACTTTAAATAACGGTAAATTTGAACGGCCATTTTGTTTTTCTTAAGTTGAGCTATAGTATACCGCGCAAGGGGAAGCAAGCCACTGCCTTTCCGCGTTTGCAAAATTTCAAAAATGCTTATGGTTTCATTGCAACAAATATTTAAAAAAGGCCATTTTTAGGGTTTTGGGGGGGTATAACTTCTAGAGGGGGGGAGATAGGTAAAAATTTTGTTCTACGGAAATAAGTTTCTAGTGAAGATCTATGTACGTATTAAATTTCAGCTTTCTATCTTTAAGAATGTAGAAGTTTTGTAAACAGACACACGGACAGACGGACGGACGGACGGACGGACGGACAGATTGAAACTAATAAGCACTTTTTTCAAAAAATTTTTTGGAAAAGTGCTAAAAACTAATTTTTGGTAATGATCGTAGAAAATTCATTATTTTCCACAAAAAAACCTAAAAAAACTTTGAATTTTTCGTGAATAACGTAAACAATTTTTTGTTTCTGTGTAGAATTTTTGCTTTCCTTTTAACACATTAATTGTTCATATTTGAACGACTGAATTTCATTTCAGTTATACAGCAGGTCTCAAAACCTTTTTTCTGAATTATATACAGTCAGTCGGCTTAGATATTAAGGAAAATTATATAAAAAATTTGAAAACTTCTTAATATAGACCGTTTCAAGTAAACATTTTTAAGGGATTACTTGAGAAGTTCCTAACTAAAAACGAAAATTGTAATTATAACAGAAACTTCAGCATAAAGTAGCTATTTTAAAAGGCACCGATGGTCAAATATTTCTTATATTCTTGTAAAAATACTTTGTACTTTTAATAAATTTTTAAATTTTTAATTTATTTTATTGAAAAAACATAACAATTATAATAGAAACATTTAAATATTTCCGTTTTAATTTCTATTGAAAAAAACATTTAAATTAATTTAGAATAAAAAGAAAGACTTGAGAATAAATTTAAATATTTTTTTTTTTTTCATTTGCATAAGTAGAAAAAAAAATATAACGGATAGAAGGTAATTATAAATATGATATTTCAAGGACGAACCTTATTATACCTTATTCATTAAAAGGTGGATTTTATTTTATTTTTTATTATTGTATAAAAGGTATAATCTATATTACTTGAGCATGTGTATGTAAAAATATATATTAAATAACTCTCGTCTTTTTCTCTATAACAATAATCCAAAAATAAAAAAAAAAACGAAAGGAAAAAATTATTGCATTGCAGTGATTGTAAAAATCAACCGACAACAAAAAAAAAACCGACATTTGAAGTTTCCCTACAGTCAGAAACCTTGAAAAATTAAAAAATAAGAATTAAAAAAAAACAGAAGAAGAAAAACAACAAAAAGTACTTAAGGTATTGGCTTCTTACAAAGTTGTTCTCATGATTTTGTAAAGCTTTGTTTTTAAAAAGGGTGAAATTTTTTTCTTTATGTTTATTTTCTATTTTGTTTTATATTTTTGTAAAAATATGACAAGGTGTCCACTCTATTTAAAAAATATTTTAAATAATAGTACGATTTTTCGATTTTAATGCCAGATCAAGTTGCTTCCTCGAAAATATGCAAATTCTGTCATTCCAAATATTTCCGAATATGCCGAATAAGAAAAAGAAATATTTTGAACAAAAATAGGTAAAAATAAAATTGTTCGCTCGGTTTGAAATTAGAATTGATTTTTTGCTTAATCGAATTTTTTAATTTCGAATTAAAATTTTCTTATTCCAGATGAATTTGAATTTCGAAAACACGAGTACAACGAAAAGCGAAGCTGATGCAGTAAGTTCTACGGGGTTTGTTTCTTTTTGAGACAGTTCTTCTATTCGTTTGTAGAAATGAAAGTGCGTCTCTAAAAAATTCTTCAAAATATTTCTAAAAAGTCTTTAAAAAGAATGTGTTAGCAATTTAATAATGAAATGGGATACCCCCTCAGGCACTATGATAAATAATTTTTATTTAGTACGGCACCTTATTCTACTTCAAATATTATTAATTTTATGTATTTTTTTTTAGTCTAGATATAGCAAACATAAATTAGTCAAAAACAAATGAGAGAAAAAAAAAAAACAAATTTACAAAATTTATAAATAAAAGCAAACAAAGCAAAAACTCAGGTTTTTTTTTTTTTGTTTTTGCCTCCCCTTTATGTTAATTTTCATTTCTTTATTTTTTCAATTTTTATACAAATTGTTCTATGTACAAGCTCCTACAGATATGCAAGTTGAACAAATTTTTATGTATTCACAGTTTGATATATAAACATAAAATTAAAGAGAAAATTGTTGACTTACCTGTTTGCCCGTATGCAAATATACAAGCATTATAACCTTGGAATGCATTTTCTAAAATATCACGACCAACTGAATTAAATACAACTTCTTGAGATGCAAATATTGATGCATCCGGATCAATTGAATAAAAGCAATGATCAAATGCAAATGTCTTTGGTTGTTTCCTGAAAATAGAACATAAAAGATAAAAAACAATGATAATAAAAATAAATTTTTATAACAATGAAAATTGAATAAACGTGATAGAATAAAAATATTTGATATAAAAAATAAATAGAAAAGAAAAAAAGGATTTTTAAATTTCAGACTACAAAATCTTGTCTAGATTTATTTGGTATTTAGAATATTTGTTAAAGTTTTCTGCAATTTCATTTGGACTTTAAGTTTTTTCATAATACTGAATTTAATATTTTAAATTATACAATTATTTTTATATAAAATTTCATAATTTTATTTAATTTATATTCTTTTAAGTACAATATTACTTGATATTTAAAGCAGTTCACAAACTCATTATGTCGCGGAAAGTAAATGTCATCGCAAGATAAATAAACAATAAATCTTTAATAAATTGAAGTAACAAACAAAATTGAAATTAGTTCCACTCTACATACAGTGGTGGTCATAGCAATCCTAGCAATAAAACCACATGAAGGCATTTATATTATATTTGACCGCCATTATAAGGACCACTTCATACCCTCTAACGCAATAAAAACGAATTAAACGCGAATATGAGTGAACGAACTATAAGAGAGAGAAAAAAATTTAAGGAGCATAGGTGTTAGAAAAATTCCAATATTTAGTTCTCGAATAATAAAAAACAGTCTAGAATTTTTAAAGAAATAAAACACATAGAATGCAGTAGAGTTATTGAGAATATCGTATATTGATATTTCAAAATTTCTCATTTCATTTCTCTACATGTCAACTCTCTCTCCCTCCCTCTCGTAACAGAAGCGATTTTCTCGCTTTTAAGTATTATTTACTTTGCTGAACGGTAAGCTTTCATCTAAATTTTACTTTTGAAAAATTAGATTATTAGAATTATTATTAGATTAGAGAAATTATTATAAGCTTTAGTTAAAAGCTTAGTACCCTACGAGACTTTCTCACGCTGTATGATGTAATTTCATTACACTAAAACAAATCAAATGTTTTTCGGCATATAAAATTTTAATAACCATAAAAATTCTTTTTTATAAATAATTTAAAATGAAAAATGTCTACATCAAAATACAAACCAATAATAAAAATTTTCAATTTACAAAATAATAATGTATAAATCCAAAATCACAGTGTGTGAGGAAAATTTTCTCATACAAAAAATTGGACAATAAGAAAAAACCGGAAATAAAAAAAAAACGAATACCCATTGTGTGGGTATAACTTTTGACCAATAAAATTCGACATTATTCAAGATTACATCGTTAAATTATGAAGAGAAGAGAAAAGATTTATTATCTGCTTCATGTCTCCCTTAAATATGTTTTGATTATACAGTCGAGTATTATCGTGACTTGCATTTTTTATTGATGGTATTGTTCCCCTCAGAAGTTAAGCTATCAAAATATTTTGTGATTTTCAGTTCATCACATCAAGACATTTTTTATTTTAATTTTTTTTTTTTTGTTTATCATACTTAAGGATATACTGCAATTTTATGTCACAAAATTTTAATGCCTTCATTTTTTTTTTCTTTCAATATTCTTTTTACACTTTTAGTGACATGAACTTTGATTTTTATGGGAGGAAAAACAAAGATTTAATATTATAGAAGAAAATCAGTAAAAATCAGTCGGCCATTTTTAATGTTTATTTATTGTAATAAAAATAATATTAGATTTTTCTCCTAAAAATTACAGTACATAAAGTATATATTTGGTGAATTTTCTCTTATACGTATATAGAAATAAAAATTTTTGAGTAAAATATTTTTTTTTTGTTAATTGAAAAATTTATGATTTTTTATTTAACGTCACTGGGAGGAAATTTTTTGTAATATAAATAAGATGAGAGTATAAATCAGTGAGAGTGATAAATTTTTATACGTGCATACCGTATACCTGATAAATACAAATGAGAGAAAATATGAAAATATTGTGATGTAATAATTAAATCGACTATATGACATGTAGAAACCGTATAACAATTTTGATGTCATAACATTGAATAAATTTGTGTGATAAATGTATACAATGACAATAAAATATTCAATGAATATATTAAATTTGCCAGGGAATATTAATTTCTAGAAATTTTATGAAATGATACAAGACTTAGTTTTTAGTATTTGTAAAAAAATAAAATAAATTGTGGTGAAAAAATAGAAGAATAAAATTATAAAAAAATAGAAGAATAAAGTTGTTATGATGCCGACTAATTCAAATGTCATTCAAGCAGCAGTTAAACATTTATGTATTACGTAAAATTACATATACCAATGTATTTATGTAAATGTAAGTATGCATGTATGACCAAAAACCATTTTCAATATTAATTGAACAATTAAAATTTTCATTGGATTACACAAAAAATCGATCAATTCAAATTGAAATCAAATTGAACACTTTTAATATTAATGTTAGACGATTTTGTATTAAAACAAAAAAAAATCTGTAGTCTGTCTGTCAAGGATAATTATTTTTACTCGTATGATAGAATTTATTAAAGCAATAAAAAAAATTATTAGTTGAGTTAAAAAAAAAAATTTGTTTTTTTAATTTTTTAATTTACTTTTCAGATTTTTTTTCTAACTTTATATACAGGATGTTCAAGACTCGACAGTACTTTCGAAGCAGGATGATAAAATGAATCTAAGTAAACAAAAAGCTCTTAGAAATATTTTGCGATTTTGAGCCCTCCTACTCGAATTATGAAGCCTTAAAATTTAAATTTCTGGAAACTGTCTAATTTTTACAGATAATTTGGAAAAAATAAAAGGAAAACAAACAATTTTGCATACTCATTTGAAAACTTGAAAAATTCCCCTTACATCGAGTCCTGCATACTTTAGTATACTTTTATAATACATTTATATTATAGCTTTCTGATTCTTTTAGAGGGCTCTATAATTTTGCCAAAATTTATAACGAATTTATGTATAAGTATACGTTACTTTCTACTTTTACTAAAGTAAGCCCATTCACAATAATTATTTTTAATTCACAATAACTCTTTTGGTCATAATTATACAAAATTGTAGATGCTTATAATTGTTATACATCTCATATATTTAAATTAAATTTCGTGAAATTCTTAACATTACGCCTCAATCTATATTAAAATCAATGCAAATTGACAGAAAGAAAAAATTATGTCAATAGAATGTTATAAGAACGTTTTTCGTTTTGCATAAAATACAAAATGTAAAAAATGTAGTTAAATTTATTATTCAGTTGAGAATTTTTTTAACAACAATAATAACATTATAATACAAGTATTACCATTATTATTATTTTTTTTTTGTTTATGAAAAATTTCCTATTCCAATAATGGTAAAGAAAATAAATTTTCAAATAAGCGAAGTAATCTGTAAACGCAATTTAATTTCCTTCCGGGTAATGTCATCGAGCACGTAAACTTTCTTATATATAATTCGTTTTTTTTTTTGCAAAATTTTAATAAATGAATGTAGCTATGTAAAATGAGAATATAATTGTACGAAAAATTATAAAATAAAACTACTATATTGTTAATGTTGGTAGTTACTTTAAAATATTATCCTGATCTTACTTTACTTATAAACGTGGAGGAAAAGAAAAAAGTCTTACAGCGAAAAGGAATTCTAAATCAGGGATTTTAATAATAAGAAATCCTTGAAAGTTAAGTAAAAAAAAAAAAAAGAATGGAAAAATGGAAAGAAATGTTGAAAAAATTATACGAGATTCAGTTAATAGTGTGCAGTAGAATTTCTTTTTTTTTTAATATTGTAAGCGTGACAAAAATATTCACTTGAATTTTTTTCTCAATGAAAAGACAAAAAGAAAAATGAAAACAATTTTATCTCTAGATTATGTGCCCATTATCCATTTCTATAAAATTTTTTTCCAATGAATGGAAATTATGCATAAAAAAGAAAACGTAGTGGGGTACACGATCTTTTATTTTAATACAAAAATAACAATAACAAAAAAAAAATAATAATAAAAGTCCACCGCCATTTCTTCTATAATAGAATGTTGAAAAAAAAAATGTAAAAATTATTATAATAGCATCCTTACATCCTTAAAAAATTAAAAGATGAAAAGCAAAAATGAAGAAAAAGAAAACAAAATTCTTATATAAGCGATTTTTTTTTTCTTTCTTTATAAATGAATTTCTGCAGAAGATTCGAGTCTTGTTTTATTATAACGCTCTTTAAAAGTGTTTTTTTTTTGCTTTTCTTTTTAATTTTTTCGCTTGTTTTTTTTGTACAAATAATGTCCTGAATTTGTCTGCATCAATTGCACAAAGAAATACCATACAAGATGATGAAAAAGCGAATTGAATGCTTTTTCTTTTTTCTATTCTTTTAAAAATATCCTTGAAATTGATATAATATCCTTTGACATGCATATAATATGTACAAAAATGTCAATATATAATACACAAGTATGCATATATATATATGCATCGATTTTAAGTATATAATGAATACATTTTTGTGTTTAAAACCGAGTGTACCATTCGAAATTTGAGTAGATCTGCCGCCTTTCAAAAATTCAAAAACACTTTGCAAAATTTAATGTTAAAATCACTAAAAATCTTAATTCAAGAAAATCCTGTAATTGAAATCATAACTTGTGGTCGGTGGAGACTTTCGATGTTCATCGTCACAGTACGGATTATAGTAGGAATGAGCCGATGAATGTGATGTTGTGTGCCGCCAATTCCAACACCGACTATTTTGATTTCGTAATTTGTAAGAGTGGTCTAAAATCTATACTTGATAAGAATTTGAATTATATTTAACTATGGGTTAGATAACAGTAGTATTGTAACTCAACTCTTTTTTGTTTTTAATATTTTTAAGTTTTTAACGCGGAGATTAATCGAAAATATTTTTCCTAGACGTTGTGATAGCTACATTTTATGGGTCTAAATGATGATTGTTATGACTCTTTCGTCCAATATTAATTTGCATGATAATTGATGGCTTGGTCTAAGCAATTCATCCGATATT